CCAGATGTTCAGATCTCGACCAAACAAGATCGCGCAGTTGAAGGCCTACCTAATTTCCCAACGACTGTGAGCGCAATCGAACAGCTGGACTATGGCCGGACACCACCATGGCGGAAGGCGGCCTACCGCCATGGCTACATCGTCCAAAAGGCTGCAGTGCTCACAGCGTAGTGGAAAGAGAGAGTGTCTTGGAGCACACGAGACGTGTGAGTAGGGACACTGACCGATTGGAACGCCGCAGAATCGGTCCAATAGCTTTTTTGTAAGCACAAATGAGGAGCTCTCGCGCGAAGAATCGCCGAGGGTGACCTTTCCACACACGACCTGTCCAGACCGTAGGTCGTTGATTCGCTTGATTCGCTTGGCGTGGAGAATCTCCGAGTGCGAGCTTTGATCCGGAGAAGGCCGGAGAAGGTCGAAGACCCTTGTAAAGGTTATGCGCAGGAGATGAAAGATCAAAGGAAATAATAGCTGGGGTCGCCTGGCGTGGAGAATCGCCGAGTGCGACCGCCGTGGCTACATCGCCCAAAAGGCTGCAGTGCTCACAGCGTAGTGGAAAGAGAGAGTGTCTTGATGGGACAAATACACTGAGGCATCTCGAGCGAGCAATGCTCGGGACCAGACGCTTTCAAAGAGGCTGGAACTTGACACCAAACACATGGCCCCGATTCCTTTGTATTTCGCACGCCTTTGCTCCCAGGGCTCCGAAAACGAGATTGTCCGACAACAGTCTGGAGCTGAAAAATGGAGACATGAGAACAATCTGCATGTTTGAGACACCTTCCAGTACGCCCAAAAAGAGACATTTTGGGCAAGAAATGGAACTTCGACAAGGGTGTTGCTAGAGGAACATGTTTAATGTTTAGAGTTCAAAACCTAGAGGCAAAATGTTTAGATTGCAACCTGTGTGCTTTTGTGGCTTCTGTGCTCCTGGACACTCCATGGGTCTTTTTCCAAGCAACTATTTCTTGGATGTTGTTCCTAAGGCTGCCAGTGATTATGCGGCCAAGCAATTGATGATGGTCGCTGCTGTTTCTATGCATTCATCCTATTTAAAGAGAGATGAGGATCGCATACAGTCGGTTCCAGTGATAGGGTTTTCTCCCAATCACACTGTTGGACAGCCTAATCACACCGTTGCAGAGCCTCCGCACTAACCCAACGCAAACGCTCTTGGACCGCATGTGCACGACAAGGCCACGAGATGTCAGCCAACTTGGGTTCTTTGGATTTGATGTTGACTGTTTGTGTCGAAGTACTGCTTTTGGCGATTGGCTACCAGGCCCATACAAGTAGCGAGTGGGAGGCAAAGGTATATAAGGGTTTTTTAACCTTTGCATGGCTGACATTCTTTAGACTCTTAACGCCCAAAGCTTGGGGATTTAGATTGGACATGACATATGGACTTCTCTTTGATCACATGTTCCTCGTGCAGAGGCTCTAGGAGGGTGCAGCAGAGCCCTATTCAGTAGGGCATTTCTAGCAATCCAGGATAATCCAACCTCATGGGACATGAATAGCTACATCAGGGCTCTTTGAAAGCCTGAAGTGAATCACTGCTGTTTTGGTGGAATCGGAGGCTCTGGTTGAACTAGTCCAAACTAGACTCAGAACAGTCTGTCTCCGGGCGTGGCCGTGCTTGTCAGATAGGACAGGACAAGAGCTGCTCCCTTTGGAATCCAGAGAATATCTGGCATATCGTGCTCTCTGAGCTTTTCCCAGCCTACTGCGTAAGCTGATTTTATAGCATTCTGGAAAGGATGCCCCGGACACCTGGGAATCGACCCATTTGCAAGGCCAGTTGATCAGACGCTTGGTTCTACCTTTGGCTGTCATTCTCAAATGGCTCCCTTCCCAATCCATGTTTCGAATGGAATGCGCGGCATGAGCCGAGTGTTCCAACGCCCTCGAAAGAGATGATGCTCGAGCTACTCGAGGTTCCGTTTGTTTGCATTTTTTTTGCATTTGTGGCCGACATGTCCTTTGTTCTCAAGATGAAGTCGACAATTTGACTGTAGCAGGTTGAAGGTTGACTGACTGCAAAGATCATTCATCCAATTGTTTTTTGCAAGGTCACATTCTGCAGTGTTGTACATTGTAGTGATAGTTTGTTGGTGGAAGTCAGACTCAAGTCGACTCCACGCCGCATTTGAGGATACAAAAGACGAGAGCTAGTGGACTTTCTTGAAAGCTGCTGCCGAAAGAAGAATAGGAAGAATCGGTGATAATCGGTATCACAAGGTACATCGACATCCACAAGGACACCCTGGAAGAAGAGGAAGAAGAGGATCACCCAGCTGGGAATGCCGGGAATGCAGGGAATGGAGGTGTATGAAACTATAAATCCACAATTTTGTAAGGCGATTTGATCATACCAATGAGACATCAATTCACACACACACACATCCAAGCAGCTATAGTTCTAATTGGAGTCAACATTCTCCAACAGTTCCTCTGCACGACAGAGCAGAAAAGGCAGCCAAACTATTTGATACTAGTTGTGACACAGAGAGAGAGAGAGAGAGAGAGAGAGAGAGAGAGAAAAAGAGAGGGGGGGGGGGGGGGAGGATGAAGACATTTGTGTGTTGCTTTTGCCCGAAGATGATTGTTAGCCGGGGACTGTGCTACAAGGCTTATCGGATGACATGGGACGCGCCGGGATGGGATGACGGAATTTGTGCTACTTGCAGCGAAGACAACTTGTAGCTGCTCGCAGATGCCCAAGGTTGATAGACTGAAGCATCTGACATCATTGCTTGGATGATCACAAGTATACGGGTCATTCTACTGTATCACATGCAGAGTCGATTGGGCAGACCAGTGTTGATTTGCCCACTGCTCCACGCGAGGATGCAGAGAAACCTGCGGAGGGAGATGGGGCAGCAACCTCAGGATGAACCGAAAACGAGTTTATGTGGCCAATGGGGTTCTGGGCCAGAGTTTCTGGGTCGTAGCCCTGACATGGCCTCAAACCTAGTGATTTTCCGATGATTTTTCATGATTTTCTGGGCTTTCATGTGTTCATTTTGCATCGGACCTGCATTTGTGGCATTTTGTGACAAGCTTGTGGTCTGGACCCCACCCTTTTGATTGCTTCATGATCCTTCAACATCGGATCTCAGGCCTCCAAAACGCTCTGGAAAGATGAAATGTTGGACTATGGCGGGCAGACGGCTATTCTTGTTTTGATATCTATAGTCTATATTAGTCTATATCATTGTAATGTATATACACAGTATATATAGTGTCTCTGCGTTCATCAGTGTCTGATACTGCACTGATACTGCAGGTTTGTTGGCAAACTATACCTTATGTTTTTTCTTTTATTCAATTTCAAGTTGTCTCTTTGTTATCCGACGTCTTTCTTTTTCCCTAAATTTTTGAACTTTTTTCCAAGACTTCATCAATTGACCTTTGGTAGAGCCAGTACTCTGTCGCCTCTGAAGCTTTTGAAAGGTCTTCGGGAAGAAGAAGAGACTCGTGCTTCGCCTGAAGAGATCAATGCAAAGCAGAAAGGCTCAGAGCGGGACATAGGATCTGTCAATCTGGGAATTTCAGAGACAAATCAAGCATTGATTTCTTTTAAAGGCATGGACTTGACATGGTTTACACTTCTCAGACGCGGTGTTTTGTTAACTATGTATACAGATTGTATTGATTGTTCTGGCTTCTGGAGCATAGCAACACACGTCTCCCAAGTGGACCTGTAACCTTTGGCCAAATCTGCAGCCATGACCAGGCAATTCAGGTCCTGATGTTCTTGATGTCCAGATCAAGCTTGGATGCCAAGCAAATGCCTTCATGACATCAGATGCCGGCACCATTGGTTATCGCATGAGCTGCTATATCACGAAAGGTAGCCCTTTAGGGGATACCTTGAGTTTGTCTTGCGAAGCAAGTGTTGGGACGTCCGGGTCTAATAATTGATCGCTCAATTCAGACCCCCCCCCCCGAATTGATTTTTCAATACAACCCCCCCCCCCCCCCTCCCCCCCTCTAAAATCAGTTCTCTCCTGGAGAACGTCTTCGTGAGCCTCTCATGATTTCAGGATAGTTGAAACCCTCTTGAACATTCAGAAAGAGTGAATATGAAATTCTAATCACGAAAGGTGTTCCCCGAGGGGATACATACCTAGAGTTTGTTTTGTGAAGTACGTCAATTCTCTCCTGGGGAGCGTCTTCGTGAGCCTCTTATGGTTTCAGGATAGTTCAAATCCTATGATGTTCCGATTCAATGCTCACCGATGATCTGAGCCATGGGGCAAGTTTGTTTTCTTAAGAATCTTTTTGAACATTTCGAGAGTACATGTTTGAACATTTAAAGTGCATATGAACATATATTTACGAAAGGTCGCCTCCGAGGGGATAAATCACCATGTCGAACATTGCATTTTTGTTCCTGCCTCTCGCGTTCTCTTCTCTTCCCGCTGTCCTACCTTTCGTGTCTCCCTCCTCTCAAGTACTGATTTGAGCGAGTACAACGGTGCCACCCCGTATGGAGCAAGGGCGAAGAATGCTGCATGTTGACTTGCCCTTTTCGTGCATGTTTGCGAGTTTGTGTCTGTGAATGTAAACAATGAACTACACCATTCTTTTTTCATTATATTGTTTTCAGCTTGTATGCAGTTCAAGCCAGAATCAGTCCGAGAGTTTGCGAGTGCTCCGAGCCTGCGTTTCAAAGACCTCTCAGTCACCCATTTTGGTTCGCAAGTCACCCTCTGTGTGCTGTCACTCACCCAGACCCCTGCAAGCCCCGAACGCAAGTTGTTCAGATGAAAGTGTGGCGTTTGATGCGCTGTAGTTCTGAACCTTGATCCTTTGCTTTGCGTTTTTGTCTTGCCCCATGCAGTTGCCATATGTTGAGCATGTCAACTCTCTTGAAGTTCCTGTCTTGCTATATAGTCAGTGCTTTCTTTCGTCCTTCAGTGAAGGAGTTACCCGTTGGCGCCTTTCTCAACACATCAAACTGCAGGCAGTTCAAGCTGAAGGGCTTGAGTGCCATGCGCGTTTTCCTGCGCACGCGGGGCATTCCGGACAACATGAAACAGTGAGGAACCTCAGACACAGCTGGCCAGAATCAGCCGTTGTGAATTGGAAAGGTAGCTAGATGCCTTTTGTGTGGCGCCACCGAAACATGGACTCAAAATGCTTGGAACCTGTTGTTGTGAGGTGCCAGATTACCCCGAAGATGGTGAAAGACATGGCAGCGCAACTTGGAATTCGTGCCAACCCAGACCTTTACTGGTATTCCTTGCAGGGAGACCTAGAATCCTCAGTTGCTATTCAAACGGCTGACAGCCGTTCTCCGATCACTGCAAGTTCACAGATCACAGCCTCACAGAGTTGCAGCCTTGATGCCAGATCACACGTGCATTCCTACTTTGGTTGATTATGGTGCCTTACCATAGAGACTCTTCATATTTTAATAGTGGATGAAAAGCAATAAAGCCAGTTTGTGCAAAAGGTACCAGGGTTAAATAGGCTCTGGATGTTTGTGGTGCAGCAAACAATACCCCACCATATTCTAATACACACATGTATGTACATTGCATGCTGTGGGACCTGATGTTGCACCTCTGACTTCTCAGGTTCGCGCTTCGCTACTCGTTGGCTCCCGAATGGGAGGCAAGGCACCTACATGTACCTGCTGGTCTTGTGGCCTCCATCCTAAGAGCGATGGCCTCCAACCTGTCTTGCTCGCCGTTTAGATGTATGACAATGTGAGTGAGACACCGTGCCAAAGATTTGCCTGTCTCAGGTCATCGTGAAGCAGGATACCCGTTTTTACGTCCACCTGCCCTCAGATCGCATGCAGATTGTGCATCCGATGATCAGGCCTCATGTCTTGAAAAAGTCAACCAAATGTATATTTGTTATGTACATATACATATATATTGTATACGAATTACTTACCATATAGAGAGTTTCCATGAGCAAGTCTTCCCTTGCGCTTCTAAGAACCAAGACAGCATGACCTACAGTGTACCTTGCTGCAGGCGCTTTCGTGAACACCTTGAGGACGATTTTGTGGCTGACATCCCTTCGCGTCGTAGCTTCTGTTGTCTTGTCAAGATGGAAAGTTCAATTGAGTCCGGAGCCCTCCAGGACACTCGACAAAATGAGTTCCTCTGGGAGCAGCTCACTTAGTCAATCTGTATCTATTGAGCTGTACTGCTTCTTCAAGGCAAGTCAACGGGACTCGCCTTTCAAATTGACGTTCCTGACAAGCCAACCTTGCTCAAGTTTACCGGCTGGTTCTCAGTTGACTCAGCTGCCTGGCTGTATCTCTCCCATTCAACTTTGAACTTCCAAGGTATCGTGGATTTGTGCAGATGAAGTGTAGCGAGCTCACCTGGCATGTATTGTTGAGCCCAACAGGCAACCAAAGTGCATCACGTTTTGTGCTCCATCGGTGTTTCAAGCTTAGACCAGATTCTCTGCGCTTAGACGACCAGATTCTCTTCTGCTGGAACCGGGGGAGGATACAGCGTCCAGGTGTGGCATTCCAGATGCAATTGTTTGGTGCCAGCAGTGTGCCCTTCACCTCCCGGGATCGGGAAGATGGGGTCCGACCGTCGCATGGGACACGGGTCCAAGGACCGTCGCCAGGTGTTTAGAACATGTTGACCTGAAGAGGTACAGATTACTTCTGCGCCACTTGCTTTCTATCGTCTCACAAGCTACGCCCTCAGCCGGATGTGGCGACAGGTCGGTAGAAGATGAGAGGTGTGGTGACATTTTTCCGAGCAGCAGCGCATCTCTTAGTGGAAAAGGCCTCTCCGGGCTGTGAGGTCTGCACGTGGCAAAAAGCATTGGCCTTCTCCTATTCCTGGCTGTAGATACCTTACAGCGTCAGAGGCAGGGTGGACAGTTGTCGGCGATTGGCTCCTTGAAGCATACCAAGTATATCACACACATTAGACTCTTCCAAGTATAGGACGCTACTAGGGGCTCCTGGCATCGCTACTAGGAGCAAGGACGCTACTAGGGGCTCCTGGCCGTACTACTAGGAGCAAGGACGCTACTAGGAACAAGAAGCTACTAGGGGTTCCATTAGACTCTTCCGTTCCAGGCAGCGAGAATGCACGATCACTTGCCCTTGCTGAACGTTGGATTCTCCATGCGCCGACGGTTTCTGGCGCGGGACAACCAGTCCGTGCACTCGGGGCTGTCAATATACTGACATGGATGGTGGCTTATTGCACAGCCTAGGAGCACCAAGAAACCAACAGCACCATGCCGCCTAAATGTATATTCACCTAGTGATCCCTGGATAACTCTTGACTCACAAAAAAGAATCATTGATCAATAAAGAGCTGCCGTGATTCCTGGATGGTTAAACACCTTCATATGTTTCTTTTTTGAAAAAATAGCCAATCAACAGTCAACATTAATGAAGCCCGGACCACGATACATCTAGAACTCTAGAACGCTGAGGTCAGATCGGAATGGTTCCAGAAGTGGAGACACATGGCTCTTCTTCCATGTACAGGAGCTCAGTTTGCGCACTGCTGGGATCTGGGCCACGTGCGCACACACACACACACTCGAGATACAATGAGTACGATGTAAAGGCCCATGCCGCAAGGAAACCTTAGTATGAAAGAGGCCTGGAAAAGCAGGTGTTATCAAATCCCAACACCAAAACATCCACAGGTCAAAGTTTCAAGGGTACCGGGTGCAAAGCATCAAATCGCACATGCTGCAAATCCTGCGTGTCTCCAGTCGGCGAGCGAGACGATTGAACCGATCGATAGTATAGGTAGGTAAGTCAATTAATGGCAAGCCTCGTGTTGTCTTAGGGCAAGCAAGAGAAAATTTATGAAAAGCCTCCTGGTATAGCGAGCGAGACGAACTTCGTCTCATAGCGGAATGAAAATTCCTCCGGTCTACAAGCGAGACAAAAGAATCGCTCAGTAGCGTAGGAAGTGCAGGTGCACATCCATGGCCAGTGGATGCTTTCCTCTCTGATGCATAGCTTCATTGGACAGAGTAGCATCAGAGAGCTCTGTCCCCCCGCTTTTTAACAGCAAAACCCAGAAGAGCCGAAAGGCTTCCTCTGACTCTGAGGGTTACACGCACGCACATGCTCGCGTGCCCGCGCACCTGGGAGGACGTTCCAAGGCAGGCACATCATAATGGGTCGCTGGAGTGTACCAGACAGACATTTGTCTTTTGAAGGAAAGCGAAAGGGACAAGCTCTAGGCAGAGTACTCCAAGGTTAACACTTCAGCATCCACATGAACTATGTGAGTCAGGGCTAGACCCCTTGTTTTGTTTGGTATTACTTGTTTTGATTATCCTTTGAGCGCCAAGTAATTGCCGGTCGAGTGTAGTTATCATGTCCGAGGCCGATACCTTTGAGGCTGCGCTTTTGCAAGCCCCAGAGAAGCATTGGTTTTTGAAGCGCCCCTTGCCCAGGATGAAGTAAGACTATATTATGTATAATATATATATAATTAGTAATATTACTAATTATATATATACATATGGTACTGTAAGAGTTCAATTGTCATATGAACTGTTTTGACAATTGCACAGCAAGAGCTGGCTGACCTCAATCTCCGTATGAGTTAGTTCTGAAAACAGTCTCATCGTCCTTTCTTTTTTTATGCACGACAAATTGCACTTTGTCGCAGTTTCTCCAGCCACGAAACCGACACTGACAACCGCAAGGTTTGAAACCACCGCGGCTGGCACCAACTGCGGAAGGCTTCACATCCGATCTGCAGTCACACCGATAAAAGAGACCATTGCTAAAGAATAAACGGGTACCTCTTTTGCTAGGCTGGTTCGTTGGATCAAATCAGTTCCAGAGTTTTAGCAGCAACTGTGACATATCCGCGCTGCATTGGGCCTGAGTTTTCCTTTTGATTGCTCCAACCTCCCCATTGGTTCCAAACATAATAGCCTTTGCTATTCTTGTTTTGATTGCTTTTAGTCAACCAAAAACAAATTCTTTGAGGTCCGCCGGTAAGGAAAGAAACAAAACCGGAAACTAAAGGCATTGGATATCGGACATACAATACATGTTATAAATATTGGTATATTGTACTGCTCAGAAGACTCCTTTAAGGCTTGCTTGAACACAAGCGGGTCGTGGCGCAGGATACTACTACAACTTCCGAAATGACGTGATTGCAGATGACCCGTCGCATATTATGCCTTCCGGCTTAGTCGGCCCTTTTACTCGTGCAGCATAGATGGGAACTGCTGTTCAGCTGCAGAACCTATTTGGTGTGTCACTGAATGCCGCGCCTTTGCAGAACCCTAGGTCCAAAGCCCATGAGCAAAAAGCCATCGCGCTACTGCAGAAGAATATTCGAGGTGCCATCACACGCAAGCGCATTCAGAAGGAGCTGAAGGCAGGAAGAGCTTTTGTCAATCTTTGCAAAGCTGTACGGCTCCTCATGAGGCTGAGATTGCAGACGCTGTAAAGTAGTGACTGTCCACTGTCTACACCAGAAAGCCGTGCAGTAGAATTTAGGTGAATTTACATGAACTTACTATCAGGCTGCAAAGGTTATCCAAAAAAGCAAAAGGATGTCTGACGCTCAGAGTCGGTGAACACGGACTTGAGAAGAACACGGTCGGGCGGACGGCGTGTCCCACCACGGACACCCCAGAACATGCTCCTAATAGCTTCTTGCTCCTAGTAGTAAGGCCAGGAGCGCCCCTAGTAGCGTCCTTGCTCCAAACGTAGCTTCTTGTATTCGATGTCTTGAGGTGGGACGTAAGGAAGGTGAAGACGGAGACCGCGAGAAACCTTCAGCTTCTCAAAGGCGACAAAATCGGACTTTCGATTTTGTGGAGAAATCTAGCCACACTGCGCCGACTTTCCTGTGTCACAATCCTTTCCTCAACAAGTCTTGCCAAGAGACATGACTGTCGATTGCAGGAGTCTTATCTCAAACAGCCTTCCAGGTTCCAAGTATCAGTTGGATGAAAGGGTGCGCATGTCAAACATGGGATTTTTCATGTCAAAGGGTTTTGGATTACCAGCCATTTGTGTACGGTATAGAGGTTGATCTAAGTTAAATTTGAGTTATATAAGATTTAAGGCAAAGCGCAAGCTTTCTGGAGCGAGCTTTCGCGAGGCTGGTACATGAGATACCAATCTGTGGAGAAGCACGAAAAGCTTCTCCATCGGGCCCCAGTCTCAGATCCTCCAATTTCCAAGGGTATTTGCAGAGCAGAATGAAAGCTTATTTGCAGAACATTGGAGAACCTCATTCTGAAAGGTTATTTCCAAGTCTCTTTTTTTGAACCTCATTTTCAATGCACGGCTCGCTGGTCAATGCAGAACCCTCCCGATTCCAAGCGCCTCCGAGGTCACGCGATTCCAAGCACAGTGGAGAGGCTACGTGGTGAGATGCGAACACTACAAGACGTCCAAAGCTCAAGTGGTTTTGCCAAAGTGCTGCCTGGTCTTGAAGGAATCCAGGAAGGATAGCACACTATCACATGTTTGGTGAGATATTGGATAGGCTCATGACGGCTAATGTTCCACATGCAACTGCTTGCTGCATATGTATGTATCCAGCAACATCCAGCAACAATTTGACATGTTTCTCGGGCATACCCCCTGAGATACTACAAATCAGCATTTAGGAAGGGGTTTGCGCAAGACGAATGTTGAATACACAGCATGACACTAGTGTATAATACAATATACATGGGAAGGTTGTCTGGCTGCGTCTGATCCGTTTCAGGATGCTGGACATCACTCGCTTCCAGGCGAAGTGGAAGGGAACCCTGACAAGGCCTGCATCCTGAAACGATGCGAAGCGTGTTTATTTTATTTTGGGGAGGGTCGCTGACGCAGGGATTGGAACAGATGTGGGGACTTGGCCTGAAATGGCGCAAGGCGTCGTCACAATGTCATTGTGACTGCCGGTGTGCTGGAACCTGAGTCGAATCTGCCCAACATCGTCTTACAGCGTAGGTTGGATTGGCTGAAAGCGACCAAGGACGATTCAGCGCACCTACCGGGGTCGCCTCTATGGACGCCGGCCGATGAGAGAAATGAGACAGGCCCGATGTGAAATGAGAGTCCGTTGGGGCCATGGAGTCTACCCCTTGGAGCAGCCCTGAAGATGTCCTGAAGATGCCACTAGGTTGGAGGCCATCGCTACTAGTACATGTCCTGGAGATGCTTAGTCTCAGTTCAGAGGACATCGGACTTCATGATTCATGATTGGACGGCAGGACGGTCGTTTCGTGTACCGTCTCTGTTCCGTTTGACCACACCGTTTCGTGTTGCGTTTGGTATCCAGGCGGCGATGAAGATCCAAGGCGAGCGGCGAAGCGTTGTTACTTGTTCTTTTGTTTGCCCAGCTTTGCTGCAAGGCGCTGTATGAAAAAGTATGCAGAATATATACATTGAGTGTGTATACTGTATGGGAGATTTTTGAGCGATATTTCATGCTTCACATTCATAATTCCAGATTCCATGAATTTTTCTCAAACCGAAGGGCTCTAATATCTCCCAAGCTAGAAGCAGAACTCTGAAGAAGTGAAGAAGTGCTGAACATTTGGGCCTGTTCACTTACTAAAAGATCTTTGAAGTCTCGTAGTTTTTCTCATTTTCCATCATTTCCCTCAACTTCTTTTCTTTGTTTGAACCGCATCTTTGCCGCAGCTATGGCCCGTGGTGTGGCTTTGCGGGAGCAGATGCGGCATCAACATCGGGCTGCAGCATATGTGCGGTTTGGGCATTCGCAGGATGTCGAAACTGATGTTTCATGGTTGTTGATTCATTGATGGGGACGGGCTTTCGTTGCATCATAAATGAGAGCATTTTGGAGATGCAAATGCACTGAGTGCAAATGTGTGTCAAATGTGGTCCGGCAGCGAGTGTGGATAGGGCGGGTGCAGCCGTACTATCATGGGACTCTTTCAGAAAGGACAACGAGTGGGTGATGACAGTGATGTTTCTTGCTGTGGTTGTTTCTGGTGTGGCACACGGAGCGACTTGCAGCAGTTTGACTGCCAGGTCCAAGCACATTGGAATGGATATCAGGCAGTGCGGGTCGATCTGATGTACATAATCCATGAAGTGGGTTGGATGGGAGCAGAAGAAGTGCTCGGAACGAGACCGCAATTCTCAAGTGGCCATGACAAGTCAGTTGGAGTCGAAAAGGCTCAGTTGTGCACCGCTTGGAGTCGTCACTGTGGCAGGCGAGAAAGATGACGGCTAAGAGATTGACGTCTGCGGTTCCCTCAGAGAAACGCTGACGCGTTTTTGGTCAGGTGCGGATTCTGACCACAAACCTGTCAGAAGGCTGAGGTTCATTGAAAGAGGTACAGTAGACCCAAACCTGGAAACAAGAGTTCATTCCGCTGTCCTTAGGACACGTTTGATGTATCATGACTCGCTCAGTTTCGGCGACTTTTTTTGCATAGCGTGCTCCAAGGTGGTCATGCTGCAGCGGAATTGGCGGCGTTTTCAGTCACAGCTCGGTGGTCTCAGGAGAGAGGAAGAGAAACAGCTAAGACAATCTAAGGCAGTGAAGGTACTGAGGGGGTTGCTGAGAGGCGATTTGCATACTCCGATGATACCCTCTATTTAGCCTTTGCCTTCTTTTGGGATGTGGAGTCAGGCGAGCTGTTTTGGGGTAAAGTTGCGCCCAGGCTGGACGTGAAAGTCATCCTTTACGACAAAATGGAGACCGTGCGGCCACTGGTCCGAAGCCGGCTGAAGCCGTGGGCCCGTGGACCCTCGCCTCGCGTCGGTGCGTTTCACCAGGCACACACACATACACATGTGGGAGGTTGAGTCGAACCTGTTCTTGGTAGGTTTGTCGGGTGCCAGCAGGTGGGTCTGTCCAAAAAGACCACCATGCATATGACCAACGGGGCAAGCTGTTTCTCTTTTTCAAGCGAGCAAGCGGGTACAGACAGCGCCGATGGGATCCAATGGGACCAGTGATTTGTTTGTAAGGGGCAGAGCCACTTAGACTTAGACTGTTGTAGAAGAGCGGCGAGAGTCATGATTCCTTCTGTGCCACCAAACAAACCTGCAGTTGAACGAACAACCAGAAGTGGCATAGCCACCACTGCTTGTATTGCAACCTGTTACTTCACAGATTTTGGGTTTGAAGGAACAAGTCCAAGGACATGCTGAGATTGCTCTTGACATTGCACCCTGAACGCACCCTCCCTAGGCAGCGGTTCCTTGAGCTGATTCGCTCAAAGCTTGAAGGCTCGGCTGCCGTTCTGTTCGGGAACCTAGATGGGCCCGGTGCGTGCGGTGGAACGACGGCTTCCGCTCCTCAAAGAGTGGAAGCAGCGAGGGGATGCGGAGACCGGACAAACGAACAGAGGCACGAGAAGAAGGGAGAAGAGTTGAGGAGAATATAAGAAGAGCTGAGGAGTAGAAGGAGTAGAGGTAGAGAGAGGGGAAGGGACAGGTTTGAAAGGGATGGAATGAATGCTTTCGAAGGTTGGGTTTGGATTATGTGGGACAAGCGCATTCGGCATGACATCTTGAAGATACTGTTGTGGATTGTTTGTGAATTCCACTCACTGCCTCTTTGTGTTTGGCTCTGTTTTTCCTTTTTCGGAAGCTAAAGCATGCTCAAACAGTTTTGCTGGCCTCCTCAGGTTGTTGGTCAAAAGCATTGTGCAATATGCTGTTTTCCCCACATCGTGATTGCAAAAGCCATCTGAGGATCCAACGGAATTGGAGGAGACATTCAGAGTATCACAAAGTTGTGCAGATGAGGACAGAAAATCCTGACCTGACATCAACTGTTGAGATATTGCTCAGCAGCAGCAGCAGGTAGTAGAACAAGTGAACATCTAAGCAGTAGGCTGGACAGCGCTGACCTTTAGCATAATTTAGCAGGCTTTCGAGCCATCATGCATGAGATGGTGGAGAGTTTGCAACAAGTCATTTTCATGTCATGAACCAGAGGTATTTCCTATCATTCAGAGATTTTACCCATTCGCTAGAGAATGTCAGGAAGCAGAAAGCTGATGCTGACAAGCGCATGAGCACGCACGGAACCCTGTGTTGATTGGGATGCGGCTTCGTTACACACTGTGGCAAGGTAGCACTAGCTTGAGCTACCAGCTGGGGACAAGTAAAACATCAGCTGTTTTGTTGATTCGCTCAGAACTTGTAGAGCCTTTTGTGAATAAAAGTTTTGAGGCTTTTGACAGCCTTCTACATGGCTGCCGGTGAGATTCGCCACTACATTCATCCGCCTCTTAGCTGCACAGAGGTAAGAGAGGAGCTTAATTGTTCGTGACAGCTACTGTAGTGAGCTACTCTTGTTGAGAAACAGATGAAGTGAAACCAGTTTGATGCAACCTGATGTTTCTTGAATTGCTTCCAAAACTGGTTTCAACGCCGTTTGTGTGTTCAAGTCCCAGCAACTATCACATTTTCAACCATGGCATTTCATGCAAGGTGGTGGCGCCATTTGCCCGAACCTTGAGCAATTTCTGGATATATATATATATAGAGTGACAAAGAACAGCAACAACCCTAATCTATTTGAAGACTTGAAGACTGGATAGCGAGACGCTAGAGATGCTGGAGTCTGAGGGTTTGATTGTCAGAATTCTCACCGAAATGCAGCTGAACGACGAGATCACAGGGCACATCAGCATAGATATTTTACTGAGGCCAGCAGAAATCCAGGAGGTTTTGTCGCAGGTGAAGGCTGTGACAAAGGGCGTTGTGTTTTTGCACTGCTGATTGATGCTCATTCCACACATTGGAACCGTTCTTTTCGCACGTTTATTTGGTATCTATCTATTTGTTGTCTTTTCTCCTGTATGGCAACAGCCCGCAAAGTCGTCCTCAGCTTGCCTTTACATGTTCAAGCTCTTGTGATCATGGACCTAGCCCCTTTCCTGGCCGCAATGCAGTCTATTTCAGCAGCTTCAGGCGTCGATGCAGCGAACCATTGGCTTGGTGCATGCCACATTCCTCAGACAGTTACGAGGCATTTTTGAGTTTCCTCAAGGGGTCTTCCGAATCTTTGTTCAGACTCTTAGAGATTCTCGTATAGACGATAAGAAGAAGCAATAGAGAAGTTAAGAAGCGAGGTCTTTAACAATTCAATCAATATTCACTTGTGGCAAGGACGCTTGTGTTTGCCCATGAATATGCTTTCAGTGGGTGCCTATCATGTTAAAGGGCGCACACGACAGGCTTTCCATGTGTGCTAAAAGATGAGGCTGAAAGGATTCTGCATCTTTTTAACTTGTTTTTCCATCCTCTCAAGGTCACTGGCAAGCTTGCCAACGAAGAGATCGGCAAACGAGGTCTGCGACTCAACCGCGCCGCTCCACTGCGGCGCTCCTGCCTTCGTTTCTGACGGAACGACGGAACGGGACCCATCGCCCTCTGCAGCCGAGGCCTCCGAGTCTCAGGCGCTGAGCACTTAGTCTACCACAGCTGGGGCGCCCGAGCGGGCGTCGAAGACGGAGACGCGTCGGAGCTGACCCCGGTCGCGTGAGATTTGGACATCGCAGCTCACCGAGCTGGATCAGCACCCAGGTGAGAAGCCTGACTTGGTGTCCCACATGCTGCTCTCAGTGACGCGGCATTTGCCCGGAACTGAGTGCCAAAGGTGTGGGGAAGAAAAGAAATCCATAGCAGCTTCCGAAGATCCTAGATTGTTGGAACACCTTGAGAACGCTTTTGTGACACCTGTTGGCACCTCTAAGGGCGCGCTGCCCCTTAACATGTTTAATAGGCTGCAGTCCTTTATTAGTATTACTAAAGTATTAGCCAAGCAGCCTTTGGCTGTTTTACATGCATGGCGGCACAACAGTTTTGCGAGGCTCAACCAGATTCCGGCCGAGCATTTCCCTGTCACTGTTGATTGGGCAGCAGCCTCAGAATGAAGCCAGAGCTTTGTGCTATCGGCTAAAGGCTGGATGTCCAGAGCTTTTCTAACCAACACCATGACAGCTTGTACATGAGCTTGTGTGCTTTTTGCCGCGTGACTTTTTCAGAGACATTCGGCTATCCAGCGACGTTCGGGGATGGAAGAGGCGGTTTTATGCCAAACGACGCTGTCCCAACGTTTTAGCTGGCAAGTCTCGGGGTGGATTACTGGCGCTGAGGCCTGCTATGCCATTAGCCATCAAGCTGTAAAGCTTGCGCTCAGCAAGTGCTTCATTCCTAGAGAGGCCGCACATCACAGTGGTTGAGTTCGGTTCAAAGTCATTGACGGGTGAAAGCAAGGGGTTTGAGGGTTGGGGGGTTTGAGGGTTGGGGTGCTAGTTGAGAAGAGACCTTGTAGGTACCATACCTTGGCCGTTTTAAAACTCCACTGTATCATTGTTGTATTCTGACGTGCCTACTTTTGCCAGATTTAAGTCATGTTCTGGATGACGACTCTGCTTTTCAAAGGACATATTCTCGTTCCAAGAGGCTGGCTGCCGGGACAAATGCCCCCCATCCTCGCCAGAGTTTCAGGGTGACGAGTTTAAGGATTCTTGCTCAGAGTTTGGCACTCATTCGCACGCGTGCGGTCTTTCTTGGGCCTTGCAGATGATCCCGGTGGGCAAAGAAATTCCTCCACATCCGGGAGACACACTGGTCTGAGGCCCAGGGACAAGGCTCAAAGGTGCAGTGGCAGTGGACAACAGAATGAAACCGGGATGTTGGAACATCCGCAGTGCAGTTTCTTTTCACTTCACCTTCAAGTTTTTCACTTGAGGTTTTCTTTATTTAACCGCCGTGAGCAGGGGAAACAAAAGAAAAGTCGGAGGGGAGCAGACGGTGATTTGGACGGTTTCGGCTGTCACATGGAGCCCAGGCCACGTTGTGGGACACCAGCGGCACGGTCGGATCCACAGATCACGAAAGCTAGCGTCAGCTAGCTGGAGTTGCTCCTGCTTTAGCAAGTCATTGGGGGATGGAAACCTACGCAGTGATAATTCACGTGTAGACCCCCCCCCCCCCCCAGGTTCAACCCCCCCCCCGCGTCTGATTCAGGAATGTGTCGACCAAGGCATTGGAGAGGACAATCTGCTAGGTCATTTGACTGTAAGTCAAGGCACGGAAACCAGATACCTTCCATCAAACATGCGCTCTCCGATACCTCTCGCCACATCCTGCTTCCAAGCCATGCTAGCTTTCGTCACCAAATCCTGGCCTCAAGTCTAGTGTAGGCCAGTCAGAGCAGTGTGCTTTCGTGAAATGAGTTTGGGGTTGTTTTGCTTTCATCTCAGGTGAAGCATCACCATGATTGGCTCATCACCCTCTCTGAAGAGAGCTTGCCCTGCTCCGTACTCAGAGCCAAGGCACTGCCTGTTTGCAATCAGCGGAAAGCGGTATTTTTTGCTCAACGGGCTTTTTTCAGCGGAAACCTGTGTTGCCCTTCAATCTCTTTGTCTCCAATGCCCAGTGCTGAGGCCTAGTGCTGAATGGTTTGCCGGCTAGCCACCGCCATGTGTCCCTTACGGCAGAGGCATGGTTGGATTTGCACACGTGATGCAGATGGCACCATAGGATAGGCAGGGCTGGTGCCACAGCTCCAGGCGCCAAAGTCGAAACTTTGCAAGAGTCTGGTACAGATATGTACAGCCTGCTTATACACCACCGGTGTGCTCATGGAGAAGCAATGGACACCGAGCATCTCCGATTAAGCGTCCGCGCAACCTGGTCATCCCTTGTACGTGATGTATGATATAATATATATATATATTTGTTTATTTTTTTGCTGCTTGCGGAAATTGAAACCTGTCATACTACTATACTATACTACATGTGTATATAGATAGTGACAAGTATGCGAAGCCTCACACCTACAGAAACTATCCAGGGGACATTCGGAAATATTTACACTGCGCTTAACACACCGAGGCAAGGTCTTGTCTCCAAGCAGCATTTTCCTTGCTGGATGTAGCTTGTGTCAAGGCTGTTCCCAAAGAAGCCAATCGTTTTGCAGGTCTTGATCACCATGAGACAAGCTCTGGCGTGGGCCCAAGTGTTGTGGAAAGCAGTGGGAAAAAGAAAGCAGGGGGCAGAAAAAGACTCCTTGCAGATGAAAACATGCCTCCTCCACCCTTTAGAATTGGGTCAAGCAGATGTTGATACATGAGCTGTGAAGTCAGAACACTTATGTCATCTTATGTCTAAGAGGCAGTGTCAGTGAATATATTTGAGTTTCCCTAAAAATCTAGGAATCAAATCATTAGTGCGAGCGCTTCTTCAAGGAAGCTTCCCTCCGCCGCCTTTGGGGTGGCACGGGGAGCTTCCTTGAAGAAGCGTGAGCTATCTTGCGTCCTGTCGGTAGTAGCGTTGTTGTAGCTACTAGCTACCTAGCTACCACTACTAGCTACCTCTAGCTACTACCTACCTCCCTCTTAGCGGCCTACTCCGCGCTCTACTAAAAAGGAGAACACACATTTTTGGAGAGAATGTTTTCTCATTCCGAGGAATCGCCAACGGTCTCCACCGAAGATCATTTGCGCTTCCAGGGTCTGGACGCGCAGGCGGCGCTTGCTGGGATGAACGGAATCCTTCCGAAAGTGAATTGATGTGGCACTTTCAACTCAACTGGGATGAACGGGACAAGATACTGAGTTGAACTTTGGGATGGTTTGGGGTTTGCATCGTTCTTTGCCTGTGCTTTTGCAAGGCTGGTGCGCAGATGATGGAAGTCCTAAGCAGCGAGCTGGATCATCGGTTGCCACCAGACTGGCACGGGGACCAAAGTCAGATGGCCAAATTGGTGTAGGCCAAGCCCCAAATATGATTCGTGGTGTAGATATCTGGTGTCGGTGGATTGAGCTGCAGCTGCACTTTGTTGATTTGGCAAAGCCATGATGAGGAATAGTACCCTGGTTCTTGGTATGGTTTAAGTATTGAGATGTTTGACAAGAGGCTGACGGCCATTCCATGATATGTTGAATACAGATCGACGACATTGATCTGAGGACGCAACAGCATGGCACAGTCGCCTCTCTGGCAGTGGTGCTAAGACGGGATCCCAAGGGCAGACTCGCAGGGTGTCAGGGATGGGAAGCGGCTGGCAAGAGTGAGACAGCAGACATTAATTGGATACGCCATTACATGTTTCAAACTCATGTTTTGATGAGACTTTGAACCAATGAATCCAGTAGCGTGAGCTGTCCTGCCTCCATAGGCGCCTACTTATACAATTAAGAGCAATTCATGTCTTGCACTCTTCTCTCACAATCCCGACTTCGCCTGCAAACTCCGATCTAACTTCTTGGCCTTCTCTTTTGTTGATTTCGCTTCTGTGGAGGGTTTGATTGTTGGAGCAGCGGTTGTGGCAAGGCAACCACATGAAGGAGCTTTCGGGTGAGAAAGACAAGGAGCACCTGGATAGATGTTGATATCGGAATAGGGGACCGCCAGGCCCAAGAGATTAAATTTTAAGTGCATATTTTTTCCTTTGGTGTCTTTGCAGTCTCACTATTGCAATACAGACCCATTTTCTGTGAGTGGTCAGGTTCCTATATCCAGAAATAGAATCGTTCCTGTGCATCACGCTTTAAACTCTCAAGGATTCTCTTCAGGGCTTGTCATCAGACGCTGACTGCACTCGATTTTTCAGGATGGCAAAGCAATGCAAGCTAAAGCAAAGGCAAAATCAAGGTCCACGTTGAAGGCTCGAATCAAAATTGAAGTATTGAAGGCTCGTGCAGACAGACATGATCTTGTAACTGACCATCTACTTCCAGGCAGAGCCAAAGGGAAGAAGTGGTGCTGGGGGCTGAGTTGAGCGCCAATACGAGCGCTTACAAAGATATCCATGGGGGAAGATAGAAGAAATTTGTAAGCTGTAATATCTCACCTTTAGACGATGGATATCTTCCAATATCCAGCCTTGATATCCCACTTTGTTGTAAGGTTCACAAGGGTCGTCCAAAAAGAGTCCAGAGTCCAAAAGAACAGTTTGCTACAATACAGCCTGTCTGTTGGTTATTGGTCTTGCTGTCCAAAGCCCTCCAGAACGAGTCGTAAGATGCTCCGTCGAAGATGTCCTGCGTTTGTGGTGTTTCTGTGCCATCGCTCGTATTATATACAGGCAAGACGTTCTGCTGGAGGAAAGGATGGAAAGAGCCCGCTTCTCAAAGAGTTCAGAAGAAGCACTACGTTGGGATATGCGGTGCGATTGCTGTGCTTCCTTGGCGTCACGGTAGGGTCACATGTTGCACCATTCCTTTTCTGCGTTACTGTAACTGTAGACAAAAAATTGGCAAGATTGACAAGTCACAGCGCAACAATAGCTAGGCGATGCTGATCCAATGTCAGGGGTCACCACGCCAATGTTGTTGGACCCCCAGACTTGGGGTGTGCCGACGCTTAGTTAACATTGCTGGAAGCTGAACTGCTTCACATGGGCCTTGTTGACTTGAGAGGAAACAACACTTTGTGAGCATACTTGCTGTGGCTACCTTGTGCATATTCTCATATGTCATATGAATACTTAAAGCCACAAGCACTTGATCTTGTAGGTTGTCCCATCATGTCCTATCCATCAATTTGTAATTTGCATGTATCAATTCATATTCATAGATTTTCCATTTGCTCGGCAAATGATCAGTTGATCTCCCTTTTGTCTATTTACCCATTTGTTTCTCCGTCCTATACTATCTATCTCATGCTATCCTGTCCTGTCCTACCGATATCCTCTTGGGCTAAACTATGGCTTTCATGGATTTAGAATTGTATGACTGAAACTGAAGACACAAAGGTGCAAATGCACACAGGTAGTTACACATTCTCTTGTTTTTTTGAGGATATCCTGTTGCCCAGGTCTCCCATGGCTGGATCAGCACCACCACTGTGGGAGCTCCCAAGCAGTTGGGCGTGAACTCCTTGTAGCCTGCAGGGTGATGTCCTGTGTACTGCAGAATCCAACCACACATAGCTTTAGAATTCGGTAGGAGAACCTAGTAGCATTCTTGCTACTAGTAGCTAGAAGCTTCCTTGGGAATCGTTTCACCTGTAGGAACAAGAAGCTACTAGTAGGTCTTTGAAGCTTCTAGTAACAAAAAGCCTTTTATCAAAACGCTCCAAGTTTCAGCTCCAAGTTCCGGGATAGGATTAGAGCTGCACCTGGGTGTGGAGCAGGCCCAGGAGGTCTCCCATTCTTCCAATACACAGCCATATGAGGATTCGGCCAAATCTATGGGTCCACCATCCCCAATGGATTCCTATAACCATAGATTCTGTCCATTATATACTCATATACTCCAACAGCGTTTCTTGTTCCCATGTCGCTAATGCTTTCTCAGAGACAATGCTGAGGCCAGAAGGTGGTGCCTTATCACATTTTACCCGTGCGGCTACAATGCGAGTCTTGCAACAGGCCCACAGCCCACAACCTGCAATGATTGATATCTCACAGTTCGTCCTATTAGTTGGCTTTCAAAAGGCTTGCGTTCGCTGCAGGTGGGATACTTTATGCGGTACCAGGCACCGGGTTGATGGTGGTATCAGCCATATGAGCCATAGCGAACTATTGGCACTAGTCTGCTTGGATGATTCTAGATTGCTGTGCATTGAGCTTGGACGCTGACGTTTGGCTGGCCTGCCAAAACTCTTAAAACGACACCTCCTTTGCTGCCACCAAACGCGCTCCCTTTGAGGACGAAGCGATGCAAAGTGTCCTCGCCAAAGGCTCCCTTAAGCTTGACTACCTTTCAGATTGCTCAGTTTTGTTTTTTTAACATGCCAGGGGCGAGCATGGCCATGGTGCATTTTTGATCGATCATTGTTTCCTTCTCCATGTGAGTTGGCACTAAACACCAGGAGCGTCGACCGGATCCCCCAAAGCTGGCCGGGAGCCTGGATTCCGTTGCCACCGAAGGTTCCAGTGCATCTGTTTGAAAACACTTTGGTTCGTTAAGATAGCCCTATTTGAGAGGCCAGAGGTCTCAAGGTCTCTTCTTTTTCTGTTTGGCGCAAGATGTCTCATCCTGAACTTTCTTCCAAGGTATGCGTGCAAATCGCTTTGTTTCTGCCAAGGGCCAAGTGTGAACATTTCCAAGAGATTTAAAAATAGCTTCAATGTGACATGGGAGAATGGAGCTGTACTTTCATTGATTTGAGAACTGTCTCAGTTTGAGCAATAGTTGAGGGGAACAGGACAAAGGAGTCCTTGGGCTCTGCAAAAGGGTTTTGACAAATCGGAAAGCAATCCGAGGGAATTTGTTGCTCAAAAAGATCAAACAGTGAGACCTAGCAACCCGCAAGTTTCAGGAGCTTTTTCCTTGTACCGGGGTGCTTTAGTGGGCACCCAAATTTTGAGCCAATGCCAAGACAAGCTCCCAAGAATAAGTCTCGTTTGCTCCACACTTCAATGCTTCTCAAATTTGGAGATGTCCTTGCTCACTTTGATGAAATTTTGAGAATTCGAGGTGACCGACAAGCTTTTTGAGATGGCGGACAGAGCCGTGCATGACCACTGCTCCTTTGTGTCGGATGGCCAAGTTTTGGAGACGTATCAGTGTATTGACGCAGAGCCATGTTGTAATGGGTTGAAAACCCATGCCTGCAGTGGCTCCTGAGGCTTGCAGTGGTGCTTCTGCACATGGTTCTCCGGGGCATTCACCTCCGCCCGGCTCGCAGTGGGATAATCGCGGACCATGTCGCAAGCCATGAACAGCCATGATTTTGTGCTGGTCCATGGCTGTTGTCGCTCTTCAAGGCTTGCTGTATCATCGAGCAGCCGTAGCCATCCAACAGCCAGATTCTCAGCTTCTGAGAAGCAATCAAGCCAGGCTACAGGCAAGTCTTGCCTTCGTATAGAAGGGTGACCCCCACCCTACGCAAGGCATAATGCGTGTATGTGGCCTTTGGATGCCCTTTGCACGTCGTCGAAGGCGGTACCGTTACATCAAATTGCGGGGCCAAAAGCAAAACGCCATTGCTCCAGCTGTTGGGAGCCCAAGCGTTCAGCAACACCTGTTCTTTTCACAGCATGCTTTGCCTTCCGTGCAATTGTTATGGATGGCTTGCTGTTCACAGTATTTTAAATCTTCTTCTTCTTCTTCTTCTTCCTCCTTGTTTCTCTTTTTTGTCAATCTATTGGTTTCATTTGTTCCCCCCAAGGCAAAGCTTGCTTTTGGGTTTCTCAAATCCATCAGGAATTTCTCACCTAACAACTTCGCCGTTTCCACCGTCCCCCCCAGCCCCTGCCCTTGGTCACCGCACAGAAAACGCGACTGAGATGCGGATCCAGCGCTTTTGGCGAGGCCTGCGTGGTGTTCGGGGCCTCAAAGTCTGTTGGGACGGATTTGTTTTCGAGGCCTCCAAGCTAAGAGCGATGGCCTCCGACCTAAGAGCGATGGCCTCCAACCTAAG